CTTTTGACGCAAGGCCTCATGGGGCGTAGGAAACTTGTGGATATAGTACGGAAACTTTCTGTTAACCCATTAACAGTTTGGCACCATAACATCTTTTTAAAAACACGAGTGAAAAGCCACCTTCTGTCAAAGAAAGAAGTGTATTGGTAATTCTGGTATGGGTAGTGGCTTATAAAGATTACGCTTTTTAAAAAGTGGCAAAATAAAGTGAAATATCCTACACATATCCTCCAACAGAGCAACATTTCAGCAGCTGGACAGAGAAGTGAATGTTCTGACTTTGACCCAAGGTTGAAACCGCTGGCTCGCTACCATAGCCAGCTGTGCAGAGTTGTTTCTTTATGGGATAAATATTTTACCAGCATCAATCATGCAGCATTGGTTGGTTAGATTCAAAACCGTGTTAAAATTAAACACACTGCTTCATTTAGCCTTTTTTCTCTCTTTTTTTTCCTAAATAATGTTTTAAATATGAATTCTAGTGATTTTGCCAGAGGGCTAGTAAATTTTCACTGCTAAGACAAGCTCAGCTCAATGGCATCAATTATGGCATTTACAATATTGACAACTGTTGCATTAACATTACACGTCCTTAAGAATTAAAGGAAATTGAGAGCAATCGTGAATCATAATCAGATCAGATTATAATCAAAATTTGTCATGATAATCCCTTGAAGAACAAAAGATCATGGATGGTGGGAAATTAATGTTTTTATGAGTTCAAATAGACCTCTTCATATTTCAAAAACAAATCGCAGTAAGTAAATAGGAAGATTAAGAAAAGTAAAATATAAAATCTGTGTTTTCGATTGTCCCCCAATCCTCCATTAGGAATAATATGCCTTTTAGCATTTTGTGCAACATACATGAGCGTTTACTAAAAGGTTATTCTTTCCATGGCGACTTTTTGACTGGTGGTTTTCCTGTGGTTGATCTGAGTCAATATTTGGAGAACTCAAACAGATTTATAAGTAGTTTATTTTACAAGCCAAAAAGCCAAACAAATGGTGTTTCAGAAGCAGCCCCACCATAAAGATGTTTTTACTCTACTTTTTAATTTAACATAACTGTTTGCCACTCCGTAAGTGTAGAGTGATATATTAATATTGCAATTTTATTGGTAGTTCTACCATTGCAGTTTTGTTAAGTCAAAGAGACTGCATTTTACATGCTTATCATTCTATTTTTCTGGAATCTATAAAGCATTGATAACGTTTATGCCCAATCTTAAATGTCCTCTGACATGAAATTTTCACTTTCTGAGGTATTTTAACATTAATATTAGTTCCCCTAGCCTGTTTGGTCCCCTCGTGTCTAGAATTTTCAATCGGTGTAAACCGAGCTTTGGCTATTTTTTTCTTCTCTGCAGCTCAGACGCACTGATCTTGAATCTCTTCGTTATTACATCATAACGAGGAAAAGTTACCTCCCCTTTCTCTGCTTTGCCCGCCCATGAGAAAATGAGGAAGTACGAACGCGAGAGCGTGATTTGAGTTTTTTCAAGAGAAATAGCTTAGAGATTTGAAATAGCTTTGATTGGCAAGCATGTCAGCCAATCACAGCAGTGGCTGGCTACGCTGAATCCCACAGCAGACACGCCCCTTCAAACAGAGTGTTCAAATCAGAGGCTAAAATCAGGCTAGGAAAATTGCCTTTTATTTCTAAATTATGACTATATAAGGGACATATTACGACATTATAAGGGAGACCAACTAAACATTACAAAATAATAATATAACTCCATGTCAGGGGACCTTTAAAACTGGAATATTGTCTATTAATAATAGGAACTTCTGCTTATAGGCCCCATCACCGATATGAGGTTACCCAAGGTTCTGTTTTAGGCCCTTTTATATTTCCCTGATATAAACTTCCATTTTTTTTTTCTTTTTTCCCATAAACACATTATTTCGTCACATGGGCGTCACGTGGGTCACGTGTTTGAGCAACTCAGGGTTAAAAGGCTCTCTGTTTTATTGTTTTGTTTTATCGTTTGCTGTTCGCAAATTATGCAAATCATCAAGTTGCATATGATGTTGTAGTATATGCTTGAGCCTTTTGTTTTGAGTATAGTGAAAGGCAGGCCTGCTTTTTTACTTTGTAACAATTTTTTAAATTGTGATGTATGTGTTTGTATGTGTATATGTTAGCCTTTTAATCAAAGACAATTTTCCATCACTGGTTGATAGATAATAAAGTTTTTTGAATTGAATTGAAATTGATTTCACAATAACACACCACCTTTTCCATTGAAATGTGATGGTAATTTCCATTCATAGTCTATTTTGGGTTGTCTTGAGAAGTTTAGATATTGGGTAGCCAATAATTCTGTCTAGTTAATTAATCTATAGTATAACCATCCTTATCTTCAACTTTATACACTACATTCAACCTTATGAGTTGTATGCAAAGCTTTTGAATCCATATGGATCTATGATTCACAGAGCCCATGGATCAGGGCTTGAAAAAGACAATGGCAAAGTGAAGCATTGTTTAGTAGTGGGCAGAACAGATGAATAGTTGGCTTTATAGTGCACAGGCCAGCAGGTTACCAGAACACAGCTGCTGAGAGGACAGCTCAGGCAAACAATGAACTGCCTCCATTCTATAGTTATTGGGCTGGTAATAAAAGCATAAATGGATGTCTTGTACCCCTGCAATCATAGTGAATTGTGAAAAAAAAAAAAAAAAAAAAAACCCATGCCCCCCCCCAAAATTAATTTAAATATAACAATTTAACAATACATTTTTAATTGTTGTCATTCAGCTGTTATTCAGTTTAACCAATGTAAATAATGGCCCAGTTTTAGCTGTGAAGTGTTTAGGCTTCTAGTATGCCTTCTGCCTGTATAGTGGCGGTGTTATCATCTGGCTGGCAGGGGGCGCTCTGCTCAAGCGCAGCAGAAGATAAGCAGCAAACTGATGATTCTTTGTTTATTGGATTCTTATTTGGCATTCTACTGTACACATTTACTCTATGCACTTGCCTTTCATTTTTTACTGGTGAGTCTGAACATGCACAAGTCATTTGTCTTTATATGCATGTACTTTATGTATACAGAGGTTTATGTGCACATTTGGTTTAATGATTTATTTATGTTTTAATGTTTTGATGGATTAGACTTTAATGTTTCAGTTACACAGACTGAATCCTCTTGGATCAGCACTTGCGGAAGATTATGAACACACATTTAATGAAGGATTTCAGATTCAATTGATTTGTATAGATTTCATAAGGTGTCCGCAGTAAAGTATTTGTTGTAACACTAACTAAAAACTGAAACATCAATGTAATTGGTTACAATGTTGGTAAGTGTCAGTTTTTTAGATTGGAAATACAAATAGACAATCAAAAATAAATGTATCAAGTTATTTGTGGTTCAATAGGACGTGTGTATAAATGTAAATGTTCCAGTGTGGAAACAATTTGTGGTACAGCCAAGGCTTTCCACATTTTGAACCAAATGTGTATTTTAATCACAGAAACATTTAAAGGCAGGATACAGAGATGGCGTCAGATGCCCTTTCCTTCTGAGTCAACAGCCGATTGTGTCGGAGCGAGTTTGAGAAACACTTAATGGCACTTTGCCTCATGTGGACGTTTGGGGTTGTCGGGACCAGCGCTATTCTTATAATCATGTGCCCTACCCCCACCCCCCCCAATTCCAAATTACATTCCCAAATGGAAGTTGGCCACAGCATCATCCAACAATATCTTTACATGTTACCAGCAAGATTTACTCACTGAGTTTTTCTGGGCTCCACAAAGCCAAAGTTACAGCAGTCTGTAATTATGTTGTTGCTTCTCTCACCATACATTTAATTCAACCACTAGATGAGGTATTAAAAACGTGGAAAACATTTGGAGTGTATTTTATATCTTAATGAAGAGCAGTTGTGTCATGGTGAGCTTGTTCTCCTAAAAATATTTATTAGTAAGTGTTTTAAGCGGTAGAAAAACTTTTGTTTAGCCACAGTCAACTTGATGGTTTTTAATCCTACGACTATTTTTAAAGTGGGACAAGTATGCTATTATAGTGGCATCTATTAAAAAGCCTCACGAAACATGAAGTTGTTAACTATACAGAGTCTAATTTGGTCCACTGCTGCTATTTTAATCATATACATATCATGTGGTAAAACACAGTGGCAAAGGCTTTAAATGGACCAGTGTTTAACCTTACAGCAAAAATGCATTCTTGTTAGCTAAAAGATTCAGGCCAGATTTGTGAAGTCTGAACAGTCAAGTTTGAACTCTAACCTCCAACACGCAGCTGGCTGTGACAATCTTACACTGAAAGAGACACTTTAAGTGCTCTTGACAAACAGTCTAATTATGGGGCCACAAAATTCCCAGTGCTCATTACATTTATAATGAACAGGGTAAACTAGAGCAGATGTGTCCTAGTGCCTTTGCAATAAGTGTTTGAGCACTGTACCAAGAAAGTGTGAGATTTCTACGTGGTCACTCTCTATATATAAACTTTATCTGCATACATGTATATAACAAAAATACTTTTCTAAAACATTGTTTAATGGATAGTAGTATCCAGTATTGTCCCCTTTAGTTCTAGCCAATGGTTATGGTATAAAGCTTGAAAGTAGGGCAGAGAAATAGGTTTAGTGCATTCATTTAAAGGAGTAGTTCACTCTAAAATTAAAATTTTATCATATAAGCCCCAAGGTGAATAACATCTATGACTTTCTTTCTACTGTGAAACACAAAATTATATATTTTGAAGAATGTGCACAATGTTCTTTCCCATATTATTTCCCATACACTGGACCTCACATTTCAAAGACAAAATATCTTCTAAGTTCGACAGGAGAAAAAAAAAAAAACGTATACTGATTGGAACAACATGATGGTTATTAAATGGTGACAGAATGTTCACTTTTTGGGTGAATTATCCATTTAGTTTGGATAGTATTTGTGTTCAAAACATACAATATCTTTGCAAATAGTGTGAAAACATACGTGGATGAACCGTTTTCTTCTATTAAGTTATAAAACTGTTTATTACTCATTACAAAATGTTACATAGCAACCTTGAGCGTTACTCCAAACAATGTTGGAGTAAATACATTTCTTGAAGTTTAGTTTCTACTACTAATACATCAAAAAAAAAAAAAAAAAAAAAAAAAAATTTGATTACCCCTAAGAGCACTGTGTTGCTTTTCAAAATGTCTCTGTACTTTCCCAAAATCTTTTGTGCAAAGAAATCATGCTTATTTTAATTAAAATTCTTTTCTGGCAAGTGTTACACTTCATTTAATACAGACGCAAATTTGACTGCTGTCAGCACTTACAGACCTAAAATTCAATAACAATAACTAAAACAAATTTGAACTGTTAACTATCCTTAAACAGAAAATGATGGAAAAGCCTGCGTGTGCTTGAACTAAGAGCTCGTAAAATGTTTTTCCCCAAATGCAGTTTTCGTATCTCCTGATAAAAAGTCCTCTGAGTAAACGATCACAAGTGTACACACGCAAATACAAAACTCACTTTCTGACACTCAAGTAGTCCTGCATTTTATCCTTTCACCATCCCGAAATCGCTCTATAGCTTCGCAGTTCAGAGCAGTAGCAAGTGAACGTGATACAAAATGCGTTCAGTCTGTGAAGGTTATGTACAAGCACCTCAATCCTACATTTGACAAACGCATTCCACATTGCTCTGTTGAACAGGAGCGAGTTTGGCTGGGTATGAGAGGAGCTGAAAGGGAGGTGGTCAAAGAAGCTTGTGAAGCCTATCTCACAATGTATCACTGACATTTAAGATTCCTTCAAGGAAAGCTTAGTTTTATTTACATGTAACCGTGTAACACACCGAACTGCAATACTCTGGTCTCTTTTTGCGTCTTTATCAAATGTGATATCTCATTGCTTAACCCTTGTAGGATTGAAAAATAAACATATAAAACTACCACACTGTTGCATTTAAAAAAATAACAACAACAACAACAACAGCAAAAAAAAAAAAAAAAAAAAAAAAACGTACAGTCAAGAGTAATGTGAAAAGGTCCAACAGTTACCCAGGCAGCTCTTGCATTATCGTATCGATAGTGTTTCAGACAAAAGAGCTCTCAGATTGGACTGAAATAGCACTGTTGCATTGCACTGATTTGTCACTCGACTTTCCTTTGGATGCCTCTGTGGACATCATACCCATCTCCACTTGGGCACCTGTGCCAAGGCAACATGTTTTCAAACAAGACACCTGACACTTTCAAACAGTGCGGTGAGAACAAGCCACAATCAGCCCAGTTGGCCCCTGTTCAAAGAAATGTGCAAATCATAAACTTGAGTGGCAAGAAGAAAATTAACAGAAATAACTGCTCCCGTGTTAAAGCGTTTATAAAACACCGCTATTCGTTGGATACATAGTGTGACCATGCTTGATGGGATTTTGAGGGGAGCATTAAGTCTGAGTTACGTATGGGCTGGGCACTACCAGCCAGCGAATATAAGACTGCATCACCTAGGAAAGTTTAGTGCTGGGGTGCACCGAAGAGAGTTGAGGGGGGCTGAAAGCTGGCTGGGGGTGAAGGGCCGACATGGGGTAGAGGCCAGGGTGCAGAATGTCCCCGTATGAGTTGCCCATTTGGTGCCTGTACATGTGGGCGGGATTGGTGGCCAGGAACTGTCTTTGCATCATTAAGGAATGAATGGCGAAGGGGGGCATGATTGGTGACAGAACAGCCTGGTTCTTCAAGTACTGCAGTGGATGGGAGTAACTTGGGGTGACGTGGGAGCCCAAGCTCTCGCACATGTCCTGGACCTGAGATACAAATGTCCCTGGATACAGCCCTTGGAATAGGTGGGAGTGCAAGGGGATCTTGTGGCCCTCTGAAATATAACTGTTGATGTGCACTGCATGAGCCGGTTCTGCTTGCTTCATGGACTCACTGTCAGCTTCCGGCGTCCTTGGTTTCCCTGGGCCGTCTCTTTGTGTCGAGCAGTGCAAGGGTGTGACGGCCCGGATCTTCTTCTCCGATGGTCCGTTCTCCAAATCCTCAACGCTCCTTTTGAGTGGCCGTGCCGTGCAAATATTCTGTGGGCTGCTTTTCGCGCTCAGAATGGGCCGAGCCATCTCATCGATCTTGTAGCTCGAGGTCTCTTCTCCTCTGCCGTTGTGCGATTTCTCCAGAACCTTCGAATGAGATTCGTTGACCTTTTTAGACGAGGACACGGTCATGGGAGGAACACGACAGGCCCTGGGATGGTAATCTATGCTTGAGCTCTGACTGTTGCCTGCTTGAAAGAGAGGCGAGTTTTTAATGTCCTGTTGCATTGTGGGATGTGGTATGCCAGTGAGAGAGGATGAGGAAAGAGGCAGTTTGTGAGGAGAGGATTTTGGGAGACTCAAATCAGTTGGTTGCTCCTCTGATACCCTTTCTGCAGGAGGTCCCTTTTCTTTCTGACTAAGCCGGGCACAGAAATTCAAACCCACATTGTCGGGATGCGTACTTGGGGGAAAACCCTGGGCGGTCTCACAGTCTCGAGGGTAAATGTCTCTGCTAAGATACTTGCTTATCTGCTCCTTGCTCAGGTGGTGCTCAGTTTGTCGGCAGAGGTTGTGTAGGTGTGGTGAGGAGTAAAAGTCACCCAGGAAGCTGGGAGCCTTGCCAGGACGAGGCATCTCAGCAGATTTTTCCATGCTGGAAACGGGGTCGGCCCTCATAATGTAAGGCTCTCTTATGGAGTGGGGTATTGGTTCTCCCTCACTACACCCATCTTTCTGAGAGCCCTCTGTTGAGGACCTCCTGTCCTCACTACCCCTGGATTTGAAGCTCTGAGCATGCTGAATGACTGATGGTCGTTTGATCACCATGTTGGTCTCTGTAGAGGAAGGAGCATGGGAGATCTGCTGTCCGGCGGATGAGTATTCTGTACTACTGCTGGATAACCTCCTACTGACCAATGGAGGTGGTGGTCCATATGGGTAATTATTAAGCAGTCCTGTTCCACTGACTTGGGACAGCATCTTCTTCTTAGCTAATGGGGACATGATGCCAGGATTACCCCTAGGGTACAGGAGAGGATTCAAATTGAAGCATGCTTCTTCCTTTTTAATGGGCTCGACCCTTTCAGGTGGGATTTCAGGAGATGTTACCGGTTTCTGCTTTATGGTCGGTAGGACCATTCCCACCTGGTTTTGGCTCTCTTTTGGCCTAGACTGTTCAATGTTTGCAAGGGCACCTGGAGGTACCTTGTATTCCAGCATCCCATGCTGCCATTTGTCCGGTGTGTGAGAGTTGGGGAGTGGATGACTGTGGTGCAGAGGCATGGCAGCAACAGGAAACACGTCACAATCCTCTGACTTGAGTGGTGCATCATCTTGTGGAAGTGACGGCAAAACATTCCCATTTGCATGCTCATATGTGTTGTGGAGCACAGGTTGATCTTCATCCTTGATTACTAGCTGCACACCTTCATCTTCAGTAAGAGGACTCTTTGCTTCTCTGTCCATGGGGGTTAGAGCCAGGGTCTGTTGCCTATCCTGCTTCTCCTGGAGCTGTTCCGAGTCCTCCATCCCCTACAGACACACATAAGCAATACTTAATGGCACAATACAACTAATAATATTGACAAGCATACATCTCTAACACCATTACACCCACACATGAGTAAAGCCACATGATGTGTCCCCAGGTGATACAACTCTGAAAATGTACTAAAAGATGTAGACATTTTGAATTTGTATTATATTTGCAATATTTTGACCTATAATAAATTTTAATACAGCTCACATTTATAGCTATATCAAGTCTACTTTCTCACTTCTGCAGTATTCACAATGTGAATAGGTAAAGAGATGAGTGAAAAATTGACATGCATGTCATTATTCTGTTATACCTCAAAGTACGTTTCAAGGTCCTTTGAAAGCTTTAAGAGTAGTCTGCTTGTGACTGGGTTCAGTATTCAGTTTCGAGCATTGTATTGATATTATAATCAGTCAAAGAGAGGAGTTCTAACAGCTTTTAGACAGATGGGAGAGGTTGTAAGATAAAATTACAAAATCGATCTATTATCCATGTGTTTGAATTGGACTGTAAGATTTTGTATTTTGAACTTACTGGTACTGTGTTACTGCTGTAGTGTATCAAAACACAGGATTATGTAGCTCTCTCACGGACAGTCCTTAAACTTGCATGCAATGATATGTCAGTTGGCCTAATGCCGGGATAATTTTGACATGGTGGTTCTAGATGTTCTGATTTGATTTTGAGTGCGAGTAAAACAGACCAAGACATTTATCTTTCAAAGTGCAGCAGAAACCATATAGACGAATCCGACGAGCGTTCTGTGTAGGCTGCCATCTTGTGGCGACGCCATTACTGAGCTGTTACACCGGCATAGACATGTGCACCGGTGATAACGCGAAAGCACCCTCGATGACAGCTACAGCCAGGCAGAATGACTTGTTGGGTTGATGATGTTAGACAGCGGCCTCCAGTCACAGATGAAGGTACAAACGATCTTACAGATTATGAAAATAGCTTGGCAAGTTGGCAAGCTAGCTAGGCTAACGTTTGCTAACGAGGGAACTATAAAAAAAGATCTGTCCATTTGGCAACAATAAATAAATAAATGAATGAAATCAAATAAACAAATTCATGTTTTTCCTTGGTGTCCATTATTTATCTCATTTTCAAATTGCAACGGGCAAGGGTAAGGTAACGTTACAGCTAGAAAGTATACATAATATCGACCATTTAGTGTTTTTAAACCATGGAAAGAGGTCAATATAACAGCAGGAAAACAATTACTGTATGTCACATAACGTTACATTTAGCTCAGGAAAGCCATTTAATGACCATAGCATGTTAATTGAATAGAAAAAATAGCAAGAGAGGAGATTTTGCTGATCACTATCACATATTTATTATATTTTTTACTTATGTCATTAAATAATTGTTATTATACGCGAATGTCCGCGTCTTGTACTCGCCCAGGAAATCTGTGTAAACCGTACGGCACCAGACAGGGGCAGTCGACCCGGGGTATTCACAATGTTTTCTCTTCAAAATTGAAATTTTACTGCCACCATTGAAACAATTTATTATAACAAGGGGTAACGTTGCAACATTAGTGACAGTCGTAAATCGCGGGCTGTTTATTCCAGTGGACGCAAGTTGCAACTAAAACAATAGGAGGCAATGGCGCAACGCTACCCAGCAACAGCTCAGTAATTGCGCCCGCTTACTTCCGGTAGTTTCGCGTATTCGTCTATAAACAAACTTGAAGAACGCTGTAAGTTAAGCATCTACATGCTAATGGTCAACGCCAAAGTCTTGCAAGACACACAAGTTGTGTGAATCCACAGATGACCTTGCACTTAATGAGTACCATGAGCTGAGGTGCAGGTTTAAAGCTGATACCTCAATGCTTTGCCCATGCAAATGTCTCTTCTGTCCCATTTTAACACAAATGAGATAAAAGATGAGGCTGTGTAAGCTTTGCATCATTTCAGAGCTGAACAAATCAATTCCAAAATCCTCTAAAAGCTGTCTGCTTAAATGAGAGTAGAAAACAGAGTCAGCAGGATTGCATAAAAGGGACAACCGACACCTGCTGCCATCTCCTTGATCCAGAGCATGATGCAAGTTTTGCACTTTGGACAAACTTCACACATCTCTAATACTTCAGAGTGGTGACAGCAGTGCAGAAGAGAGGCATGCACCGCCCATCCATTCATTATCAGTGTTGGAGGAAGAGATGCACAGATGTTTGACATCAGCTGGTGTCAAATAAAAGGCTGCCTCATCCCTTTCACTCTACTTCCTCACTCAACCAAGATGAATGTGTAACTACATGTGAATAATTGCATGTTCATGCAACACATTACACAGAGATAAATAGCTTGTCCCAGCTTGTTTTTGTAGACTTGAAAATAGAATGATTGCCTTGATCTACTATCTGACAGCTTTTGAGCACAATTTTATGGTAATTAATACAGTAGGTCCTAATTCAGCCCGTTCTCATCCCAAGGCGTCATATACGACACTTTTTGCCAAAGCAAAGACATCCAACGCACATGGCACCCTTTAGCGTCAATATGAGATGCAGATATAGTGGTCTATAGTGCGCCTCCTAGTGGTCTAACCCTAAACCTACCCCAGACCCAAACCTACCCATACTCTGTGCATGTTATATTGACGCTAAAGGGTGTCATGTGCGTTGGATGTCTACGCTTTGGCAAAAGCGTTGTATATGACGCCTTGGGATGAGAATGCGTTGCCTAATTTTAGTGTTGTACCAATTATAGTTTAAGTTTTAATTTTCTGTTTGTATTTTAATTCTAGTTAAAGTTTTAGTGGTTTTATTGTGTTTTGCCATCATTTTTATTAGTTTTTTTTTTAAACTTAAAACTTTCTTGACTAATCATATATACCACAGTCCGGTTCCGCATGTACTTACTATGTACTTTAATTTCAATTACAATAACTGAGTTCTAACTAGGGACTAACCCTCAGTGTTGTGCCTGAATGCGTTCATTGAACGATTTTGGGCGAATGTGAACTGAACGTGTTGTATTACTGCCTGATGAACGCTACTGTGAATGCTTTCAATCTGGTGTCTCAAACTTTGCCTGCCGATAAAATAATGGCTGTCTGTGGTTGTATATGGGTTGTGGCAACATGGAAAAAAAAGAATTATGAACTAGTTCATTTTTGGAACTTGTGAACTTAGTTCAAAATGATTAAGTATGAACAATGAACTGAACTAGTTCATTTTAAAATTTGTGAACTGAACTTTAAACTAGTTCATGTAGAAAGTGAACTTTCCCAACAATGCTAACCCTGAACCTACACCTAAACCTAACCTTAACCCATGTAGCTACCTTATACTACATGTATTTCTTGGGTAAGTACACTGTAAGTGCATAGACTGTAAAATAATGTGTAACCCTAATTTTATATTTACATGACTATATTATTTCATATAAATACATTTAACTTTTAAATACTAAGGGAATATGCTCTATGGGACAAGGGCATTTCGGTAGTGATAACTGAAATGTGTGGTAACAACATTAGGGGCCCTATTTTAATGATCTAAGCGCATGGTCTAGTGCACATTGGGCGTGTCCGACTCCATTTTTGCTAGTTTAACGACGGGAAAAATGGTTGGTGCTCCAGATGCATGGTCTAAAAGGGTTGTACCTATTCTCTTAATGAGTAAAGGGGTGTGTTTTGGGCAGTGTTGGGAAAGTTCACTTTCTACATGAACAAGTTCAGTATTTTAAAAATAGTTCAGTTCATAGTTCATACTTATTCATAGTTCTTTTTTTCCATATGTTGCGAGCTTTTTAAAAAAAAAACATTATTATTGCCACAGCCCATATACAACCACAGATAACAATTATTTTATCGATAGGCAGTTTGCATAAAAATGTGAGATTTCTCCCATCTTCACCGACCTCGTCATAAAACCCGTTTAAATGATCATACGACACTTCCTCCCTCGTTATTTTGTCGACGCCGACCGCGGTGTGACAGTGGTGTCTTGTGTTGCCAGATTGGGTGTTTTTTCGCTACATATTAAGGCCAGTTTACGTGTGTTTTCTCTATAGAAATCTGGCACCCTATTGTACGAAGTCAAACTGAGAGAGTGCGCGTTCACAGACACCAGAATGAACGCATTCACAGTAACGTTTATCAGGTTCAAGTTTGCCCAAATTATGAACGCGTTCATGAACGAACTATCGTTCATTGAACGCGTTCAGGCACAACACTGGTTTTGGGCTTTACGTGCAACCAATTAAAATCTCATCACCCATTACCAGTTGCGCTTGCGTCATGGCGGATTCACTATTTACGTGACCGAATTTTATAGTTGAAAGACTGAGCGCTTTTCCAGGAAACAGATCTGTTCATGCGCAAGGTTAAAGCGCGCAAGCAGACCATCGATGGGAAAAGCCGGATTCCACCATATCTTTATGTGCACAATAATAATCTTTTACACTGTAATCCTTTTATTTTTAACATTTGGCTGGTTTGTGTGCTGCTGCGTCCCTGAGAGTGGAATAAGCAGTGTGTGCTCATGTTGGACCCGCCCATTAGCCGCACATTACTGAAAATGATAACTGACACTAGCAAAAAACACGTATGATATGGGCGTAGCTCAAATAATCACTGGGAAGCTCAAATGAGAATGAGCTTTTCAAGTAACTATTTGAGAAGACACCTCTTAAACCTTTGACCCTAGGGGTCGCTCTATCTATCGCCCTTTAGACACTTGTACAAGTTGTCTTTGGGGCCACAAGCAGCCAGTGACTAGCAGGCAAAATTACCCAGCTGTAATGCGGCGTGACCGCCCGTTGGCTCAGCGTGTGTCATTCAATAGCCTTGATTGTATTTGGTGCCTGAGGAAGGACTGATTTAACAGCGCTTACAATGCTCTGATTCTTAGCAGAGCAGCGCGCCTATATTTGTACATGCCCTGATTATACTCTACTGACATGCAGGCCCCCGAGACAACTCCCAGCATCTCTCTCTCTCCAAATATCCTCCCCAAGATCTATAACTCTACTTTAAGTGTTTTTTTCCCTCCTTTCCGCGCTCCAGTCTTGTCATATCAGCTCTGCCTCAAACAGAGAATTCCATTTTCATTTTCTGCTCTGTACAATGTTCAATCAATTATCTGGAGAGGCCTTTCAAATTACACAACATACCAGACAGATGAGCTAGGCATGCAGCTGGAAAAGAACCTACAACAGCCCTTTTTGTTTCCACACTAGAACCTATTACTCATTTCATGTGAGGTAGGAATACGAACTGCGTAACGCCTTTGAAATGTGTTTAAATTTGACAATTCGAGAGAATTTTTCACACAGTCCTTTCATCTTTGTAATCATTTGCGTATTCATGTGAAAATAATAACTCAATTTTCATTCCCTTCCACAGCCGTGCTCTCCTTTTTCATATTTATGCTTAACTGGAGAGACATTTGCAAATCACCGTGGATTTATTGGCTTTCAAGGATAAAAATAAGCCCACGGTTTCTATAAGAACACAAATGTGACATGCAGTGCATATTGGATTCGAAGATGTGATAGGAAAACATTTCCACCACAGCTGCTCTGTGCACAAAAAGGTCTTGTCAATAATAAAAAAGGGAGCACTGTCATGATTTCCCCCACAATTCATCTTCAAATTGATTTGTGGACAAAACTGAGAAGGAGCTTATGGAAAAAGGAACTGCGAGGGGAAACCTTATGCTCGGCAGTCCAGAGATTCACCGAAAATAACAGCGTATAAATCACCTGGAGTCAGTCAGGCAGACAAATAGTATTTGATTTCCATGCTGTTGTGCAGCGGTCAGAGCCTCCAAATCAGCCCAAATAATTATGTTAAAAGCAGCTGCTCCTGACAGTACTATTCTCACATGCTCATGCCAGCTTATTTGTTGAGGAGAGGAAAGGCACCCAGCTTGAAGTGGTCTGTCATGGTTCTTCATCCAGCCAACTTTTTACTATTATTATTCTGTGTTTACTGCATTGGACTCTATGAGAGAATTTAGAAACCTATGGTAGAAATTTGCCATGCTCTGTGTTGCTTTAAACAGATTAAACACATTTAAAGACTGACCAGCTCTGGGACTTTAGCTGAGATGTCCATTTCGTTCAGAGGCACCGGTTTTTGTTCATCCTTAGGGCGCTTGATGGCCATCATCTTTGTTTTGACAATGGCCTCCTGGACACTGCCCTCCTGTTTGCGGGGTTTGACCGGCGGAAGGGGTTTGTCCTCCTCTCCTTTAGTAAACCTCTCATAGGGTAAGATGAGCCTGAGGAAAAGTAGGAAGTGATACAGATTTAGTGGAATCTACTTAGACAGATTCATCATATGTTTGCACTTGTATTACTTTACACATTCCTGTCTTCTTCCTCAACTGATTGCATTGTTTCCTGTTGGCTTTATTTGTTATCCCAGACAAACTGTGGAATTGACACATGCAAACAAAAGGAAATGTCTCCTTCCTATGAACCGATGCTACTGAAAATGTTTTTGGTTACAATAGATGGCTGTTTCTTCATATGGGCACTTTTGGCCCTGTGGATTTATAAGGGTTATAATCTCTTAAAACACATTTTATTTTATTTGATTACTAAAACCAACTGATATTAACAAAATGTAATTTCCACAGGATTTCAAATTCCTATTCAGTAAGTGGTAAAAATTACATTATAAACGTACTGCTATGGCTAATTCCATAGCATTCGTAATTAAATAGTTTCACATTTATGCATACTTTTACAAAAATAGAGTTTTAGTAATAAAGTAAATTGTAATATTTTATTACAACAAATACAAGTTTTAGAGTGTAATATTTTAAAGTCGGCATGAAATGAAAATGTTACCCTATTTTTTAAATGCATTTTATTGATCTTGTAAACAATGCGTTGAATTATTATTTTTTTTTACTATGATTTTTTTTTTTTATGGTCTGTTACACTCAAAAGATCAGTTGCTACTTTTGTTTCATTGCACTTTAAGATAGAAACTCTTGGTCAAGAGTAAAAAAACATTTATATAAAAAGCCCCAAATAAATAATAAAGTCAAGTTAAAAGTTTCCAAAACAGATTAAAGCTCAAATTTGTTAGCATTTGTAGAAAAATCAGCAAATGGGACATAAAAGTTGGTTCATAGCTGAAGGAACACCCAGCTATGAACACTTGAATGAATGATTATTACACAAGCAAATGCCTAACCACAATGAGGCAAAAAGAGGACAAATTGTGGATAATGGGCTTGATCCTAATGAAAATGTACTTTTTTGTGTGTGTGTATTGCACCACATCATGTCAGATCAGCACCATCCAGAAAACTAAGACAGAAGACTAATGAAATCAAAGCCAAGATGACAGCAGATATGAAATTATGATTTACTTGAGAATGTTATTGAGGATGGAGGTACACAGCAACATGATCTGCCTTTCTACTCTTGTAGCTTGGAAGTTTTTATAATGTGTCTGATGTGATAAATGAGTCTGGCTGGGAACTGTTGAAGGCATGCGGAATTATAAATATCTACTGTAATACACCAGCTGTAATCCAGTACATTTCACATCTTGTGCATCACGATACACGAATGCAAAAAAACAAAACAAAAAAAGAATGGAAGCGGAATCCATCAACAAGACGGAGCTCGCTAAATGCAATTAAATGCCTCTATTACAATTATATTATTATAGTTTCTTTTGTGGCTATATTTCCCCCCTCAATTCTCTTTATTATTCTCTCCACTCCTGTTTATTAAGATCTGGTGGTATCTCAAGAGGGATTCATCTCCTTTAGTTTGTAGCCGTGTGTTTACTCAGCTCAGCGGCGGGATGTTCAGGGATCTCGGAGGCGGGACGCACTGAGCACGCTCAGACAGGGGCTGTGCGGGAAAACTATGCCGGCTGAGGTCTGGCGGCCGGCCAGCGGCAAAGCTAAGCAGGAGCCCAGAGGGAACATTCATCTTCAGATCCCATTACCAAAAGAGTTTAAACATGTTACAGCTGCTAAAAGTGGAAAGCGGCTCGGTCCGCGCAGTCAAATCAAAATAGCAGGCAGCTGCCAAATACCTGATTCCCACTGTAATGTTTCACTTCATGTTTACATAATGGAGGTATAATAATGCACACAATGACTTATCTTGTTCACAGCTAATCCTCAGAAATCTCCCTAGTCTGGAACTAAAGGTGTTTTTTTTTTCCAAACCCCCATAGAGCCCTTAGTGAGCTTTAAGCTGGTCTTATGACAGCCTGATTTCAAAGTGCAAAAAACAATGTTATATTTACCTAATATTCTCTTCCGATTGGTGGAGAGATAATTGGTATCAGATGTGACTGTTTAAACTTGCCTATTTATGTCTGAGTGATTTTCTTATGCGAGAGTGAGTTGAGATAAGAATGGAAATAGCCTTCAGTCATAAGGTGAGAAGTCAGGGAATAAATCATGACGAATATCCCCACTCATTCTTGCCACATGACCATTTATGGGAATAACAAGTCACCGTTCCCTTCCCAGAGGGATGAATAAAAAAATAATTAAAAAAAACTGTAGAAAATCTTTCCTTACAAGTTAGGCGGTGGAGCGTCTCCTCAGAGGAAAATGTTTTTAAGAGGTTGAGGAAATATTTGTTATTTTCATTGAGCTAGGCAGCTGGCAGATAGACAGAAGAAAAACTCTATTTCATACAGCCGGTGAAGGGCACAATGCCAAGAACAGGAAATATGCAATTAAACGTCCCTTTATATGAGAGAGAGAGACAGAGAGAGAGAGAGAGCAAAGTAAACTTGAAGATTTTGTTTTAACATTGGTAGGGATACAGATACACACACCGCTAATTCTGCAGTCTTTATGTATTTAAGGTTTTTCTTGCCAATCTTTAGAGTATTGTGGCTGGACCGATACAAAAATGTCTTGGCTTGGGTACAACACCAGCCCTCTGATTCCTCAGTACTGATACTTAAATGATACCTTAAGCTATAAATAAAAAGCCTCAGGTGACAGATACAATAAAACAATGTCAATAATATGTCTTTTAATCTCCCATTTTTTGCTGTTTGTGAACAGATCAGAACAATCTGTTCTTTTTAAAGCAAAGAAAAACAATATGACCAAAACAAAACCAAATACCCCATAGAAAGAGTGCACAATGACTTGGTCCTCTAGCGGTTAAAAAAACGAAATATCATGCATTTTGTAGAAGGACGCTGTTCTGCATGACTGAGCAGATAAATATGACGATTTATCTGTTCAATAAAGTACCGTACCAACCTTTTTGAGCCATAAAAACAGCATTTCCACGTCATTTTAACAACATTTCAAATCCCTCAGCTCCTGCCATCTATGAGAAGCAAAGCCAATGTTGATTCTTGTTTTATTACGAGCACTTTAGCGTTCTCTTTTTGCCAGCAGACTCTCCTCTGTTCTGCGTTTAAAAAAAGGTGTGATTCGGCATGTGATCAGATAACGACAAAAAGGAAGGAAAACCTGATCACGCCACCCCAGGGAATTATTAATAAAAAACATTTTTTTAATCAAATTAAAAAAGATTTTGCTTATATTACAATAATACAGGCTACTGTACTGTAAAATAAATCGAGTAAATAATATTTTTGATAATAATACATTATATTATAATTAGTGCTGTCAAACGATTAGTGCTGTCAAACGAAATATTTAACAGCGATTAATCGCATTAATGTCATAGTTAACTCGTGATTAATCGCAATTAATTGCAAATTTTTATCTATTCTGAATGTCTCTTGATTTCTTTTTGTCCCATTATTTTTTCTCATTTTAATGCTCTTATCAACATGGATTGGCTTGCTTTGTGCAAATGTTTTTTTTTATCAAACAACATTAGCATATACGGCGTTCAAATTCACACTAGAATTCTCATTTGGAGCAAATAATCTCTCACACAATGTAACACTGTCCATCAATAAAAGGGTGAAAGAAATACTGACGAGGTCATGATATTGACGAGGGGCTGAGAATTCGCATCAGCTGTGTGTGTGTGCGTTAGAGCCAGACCGATATATCGGCAGGCCGATATTATCGAGCGATATTAGACATTTTCTAAAATATTGGTATCGGCAGTTATAATGGCCGATAAATTAATATTTCAAAAATACAAATAAAAACGGACGAATCACACTTCAACCATGTCATGAGTGTTGGAGTTAGTTTGTCCACCAGAGGACACTCTACACCGTCCCTGTTGGCAACACTCGTGTATAACGCAACCTGCTGATCCAGCCAGAGTCGGGCAGAGAGAAACAGTTATGCATTATCATAATATTGCAGTTAAAACTCATATTTAACTACAAATAACTAATGTTAGGGAAATCTGTTAATATTGTGTTTCTGTAATAAAAAAAAAAAAAACACTAATAATATCGGCCGATATATCGGAATATCGGATTTTAAAACCAACAAATTTTTGTATCGGTATCGGCCTTCAAAATCCTTTATCGGTCGGGCTCTAGTGTGTGTGTGTGTGTGCGCTTGGCCATCATCAAGCGGTATTTCAGACTGGACGTGCTGCGATGATGATAGCTCAGTTCTCAACGACAAAACACACAGATCCCTTTGGTCTTGTCAATGGAACCATTTTGCAACTTTTTAAAAGTAAACTTTCCATTCAGAATCTTACTGGCATCCATTTTGGCGTCTCGCGCTCGTCATCAACTCAAAACGTAACGTTAACCAAGTATTTGGCCGCCTCACAAGTCCAAACGAGTGTGTGCGGCGTGCCTGTTGTTTTGTTTAAGGTCTAGCTAGATCCGCTGGCGCTTTGGTCGACAACAATAAAATTACAATACTAACACATTTATTGTTGTCTTAATTTCTTTGTTAAACCTGAAACTGAAAACGCAGTGTTACAGTACTCTGAAACATGCAGCGCGTCAGTCACACAACCGTTGTGATTTGATGATTTGCACTAAGCCATCTCACATTCTGCACCACTGTGCATTGTAAAAATTCATAAAGTACAGCTTAAATGTCGATTTTTACTTGGATTTGGCGCTTTGAACCCTGGCTAACATGCTAAGAGTGTCCCACAGATGGTGCTGCCAGCTCGTGCAGCACTGTTAGATGTACTAGTGTACTAAATGTACTAGAAAACATAACATTTTGCAGTTGATTTAGTAATTATTTAAGGCCATTTCACAATTTCAATCATCATACAGTAACCAGCACACACTCCCACACCACACACGTAGCCGAGCATCTTTTCACTATTTATGGATATGACGAGATACACACAGATGAGTACACAAGGCCTA